ATGCGAATCGAATGAAAATGGTCGATTTTCAGCCCAGTTGGGACTCGCTAAATTGCATGAAATTGAGTCTAAAAGTTAAATCGTAAAAAATGTCGCTTTTCTCGGAGAGACAAAACTATTTCAAGGAAAAAAACTACTACCTGTTTGCACTCTTGCTAGGGGCTAGCTATGTGCAAAAGACGAGCGAATTTGAGTTTTCTAGCCTTGCCGAAGAAATTTGATTTTGTTTGATTTTTGTGGGAATTTGCTCTTAAGGAAGCTAGTGACAGGTTTCAAAAATTTTCCAATACGTAATGCAACGATATTGGTATCACATGCACGCCCAGCCATTGGTGAACCAATAATGGTAATCTTTATGACCTTAAATAGGTTGCCATAGCAAAAGTAACACCTGTTAAAACCCCCTAATTTTTATATCTCGAGGCACCCATTTATAACTTGGAAATAAGTTCGGTAACCCCCAATTATTATCAATATCATTGTATTGTGATAGGCATGATAAGGTGCAACTCTTGCAAAGTTTAAAAAGCCATATTAAATTTAGAACTTTGCTTTTCTTGTTTCCCAGGGCCTACACTGTGAATTTTCATGTAGGGCTCTCTGACACATGATTTTTTTAGGATTCTTAACTCACTGAATTCGAATCATATTTACCTCCATCTGGCACTTTGGGTGCGGCTCGCTGCAGTGTTCACATTGAATGATCCTCCACTGACACGTTGTGGTCATGTGTAGTTTAAGATTTTTCCTTTGCATAGTGATGTCACAGTTTTTGTTTAGGCAGGAGACAATTTTGCAAGAGCAAGTTGCCAAGTGATTCTGTAACACAAATAAATCAACATCATGTTCAGTTTGGTTAAGCCTCAAATAGTTTGACACCGTGAATGTGAACACAATAAAGTTTCTGGTTTTAATACACCTCCATTTTAAAGGGGACTCTTTTCAGTGGCATTGCAACTTGTCTTTAGTTTTGTCTGTAGTTTAGCTCTTTCATTATTTTTAGCATATGTATTGCATAAGTCGTATTTTGTTTTATTCATGTTCTCGAAGATATTAGCTAATTTTAGCTACCTAAACTTCGAGAGTAAATAAAGTATATGTATATATGTATACATGTATGTACTAAGGGGAGATTTTGGCCAATTTCACTTCATTTCCTGGTCTTGCTTTACATGTAGGTAATTCAACTTCTTAAGATTAAAATCTTAATCATTTGTACAGTAACCAATATTGCCGGCCAAGATTCACGACTGAGTAGTAAAATTAATACATGTAGTGCTACTGAAAGGTCACAGTTCTAATAAGTTGTTATAATGATTATTCTCCTAATGATGGTCTATTCAGTGAAGTCAGTTAAAGTCACCATTTTTACTTTATAATTTAAACATATTGCTGATTATTACTCTGTCAAGGGATTATACTAAACATTGCATTTTATAGACAGTGCATGTAATTCCTTTTTTTGTGTGTTTATTTTTTTATTTTTTGTGCAGTTGGTTAATTGTTAACATTACACCAGTCAAGCCTCCATTAACTGGGACACTTCTACATGTAGGTTTTCTGATGGTATCCCCTTAATGGAAGTTCCCCCCTACCTTTTTGTTCCTCAGTTCACCAGTCCAGTCACACCCTTCACTTGGACATTTGATGAAAAAAGAAAGAATCTTCCTTTCTGTTGCTTTATCTGGAAAGACATCCTGAAAGAAAATAGATAAAAGCAAAGATTGTGAAGATGAGGGACTTGCATGGAGAAAGACTGTGGCCAAGGCATGTAAATAAAAGCAAATGAAATAATAAAACCATGAATCAATGCATAAATGTATTGAAATGAGTGAGGGTTTGTTATAAAGATATATTATGAAGCCTTAGTCTTTTCACAAATATTAGATTTTTATCTTTTATTTAAACTCATCGCCAATAGATGAGCTTGGGTATGGTGCCTGTTAGAGTGGGTGGTGGTTCCAGGCTGAGCAACGAACCTTGAGCAACGAGCCTTGGGCAGGGCATGCAGGTATCCATGGCCACTCTGCGAGCGGCAACCACCCATCAGACACTGTCACACTGAGCAAGTAAGAGGAGATACTTACCAACCCAATACTAACCAAATCCACCAATGAGGGAGGGATGGGGAGGGAGAAAAAGCAGTACAAATGTACGGTTCGGCGCTCAAAACAAACTGCACAACCTCACACGGCTGGAACGCACAACACGTGTGATTTGAGAAACCCTGTATGTCACATCGAAGCGCCAGATTCCCTGACCACCGCTGACCAGCATTGACTTGATTTTAATGTAGCCCAAATTACATTTACAGTAGCCACCTATAATTTACATGATATGTATCCCTACAAGGTGGTCAGTCTCATATATAGGGTCTATGACTCTTGTACAGATCATCCTGATGGCTAAATTTTGACACATTACACTATGCTTACTTTTCCCTTTTCTTAAATGTCAGTTTTCTAATAGGAAACTGACATTAAAATTTATTCCCAAATTTATTTGCCACAAATGAAACAAGGTATCAACAGACTTCAGTAGAAGTAGTCAATTTATGATGGCTGATGTGTATGGTGGCTCATCAATGCCAAATTGATCTTTGGCTTATCAGGAATGCTAAAAATGAAAGAAATATCAAATACAGTCAAAAGATGTTACAAGCACACGTGAAATGTTCCACTAATTGAGTCTGACTGGACACATAATTCAATTTTAATTAACGACTTCACCGGAATCCTGAGTTTTTTAAATCACCTATGTACCTAGCAGGGGACTGGAAATTGGTCCAAAGAATTGGGACGTTCAGAAAATTGGGGGGAATCTCCTTCTTTTTTTTTTTTTGCAAAGGGAACAAAAAATTGCTTCACATAATAGGGTAGTTGGAGTGTTGAGCTGGGTTTATTGATTGGGCTTAAGAAATCGGCTGAGTCTTTGCAGTAATTGTTATGACTGATTGATTTCCCAGGAATTTCATTCTGTAAAAATATTAGTACCACCAGGGTAACTTATTCACAAATTTGATTGGCTACCCTGCAACATGAGATCCATAAATTTGTTAAATCCATGCACAGTCTTAAGTAGTGCAGGATACAACATTTGGTCACTGAACACTGCCCAGCCAAACGAAGAAAAATGTACGGACCAATTTTAAAACTTATGGTTGGACATCGCCTCCACTGCACCAAACTGACTAAGCTTTTTACCATGAAGACATTACAGACCATTTTTCTTTAAAACATGTCAGTCATATAGATCAAAAAATGTCCTGTTTTGCTCAGTACTTAATAATAACCTCTCCAGACTTAACCAAGGGGTGAACCTTGCAATTATTTTACCTCTGTCGATTTCACTGAAGGACAGCGTCTTCTCGAGTTAGTTTCATTAGTCCCATGGACTTGGAAATATGGTCCAAGCTCTTGGAAATTGAGCTAAGTCAATCAAAATAAAGGTGTGTGTAGCCCGGTCTCTGTCTAAGTAAGTTTAATGAATAAAATTACGCAATGCCCTAAAGCATGAGTGTTGTTCAAATGCACTCGAATCAAAGTACATGTAAGAACGAAAACGTTCACAATTCCCATGTATAATGGAACTGTTATTATTCCAAAAAGTTATTTTGAAACCTTGCATAGTCTATGACCTTGATCAACAGCCTAGCAAAAATTATCAGAAACTCATCCAAGAAACAGTCAATTCATCCTCAACCTTCCTCGTACAACAACTTCAAAAAACAAAACAAACAAACAAAAAAAATACAAGTCTTGGTCTTCATTCACTTTGATTCTTTTGTCATTGTTTTGTTGATGGAAATAATATCCATCTCATGGATTTCGACGATACACGTTTAAATGATATGTGGCTTTTCCAAAACAAGCTAAAACAGAATATCTGGATTATCCCCATATACCATATAAGGCAAACGTCAGAGAAAATAGCCTGTAAGCCTGGACTTGACAACCTTTAGAATTTTTTCTCCCGAGTACTTCTGCCCGAATCATCAGCGTTTTGGCTGAAAATTTTCAAAAATTTCTGAAACTGGGGGGAGGGGTGGGGCTGAGGCCCCTCCCCTACCCCCTCGCCCCCACCCCCTGGCCCATATGCCTATGCAAACTTAATTTGAAAGAACAAATGACCTACTACCAAGTAGGGAAACTATTTCCAGGAATGAAGATCATTTACCAGGTCTTGGTTCAGGTCCATTCTGTCTGTAGGGCAGTTGCAAGGTTGGTCATTATCTCTCTGCCTGTGTAATAAAGTGTTGATAGAAAGAAAATAAAATTAATAGGGTTTTCACAATACATAGGTTTTTTTGTTATCTACAAATAAAATTAAACCACAATTTCCCAAATGACTTGCATGTAACATTCTTTTAATTGTGCTGCTGCATCTGGATAAATCACTAAGGGAAGATAATTTATGTTTTTGTTATTCAAATTTCCAGGTCATGAAACAAAACAGTTTTTTTGTTTCCGCAGCCAATTGAGTTCTTTGGTTGGCACATTTATAGCAATAGGTGACATCACTGGTACCTTTGCTATTGTGGCAGGGCTCATCAAATTAAAAATAATAGAAATTGCTATAAATTATGAGTAAAGCTATTTTAGTGACAATCAGGCAGAAATTCCATTACTTTTTTGTGATTTTGTCAGGTCTGGAATGCAATTTCATTTTCTGTGAATTTTTCATGAAATTCTGCATGAATTTTTCATGAATTCCTTAAAATTTCCTCTTTTGATCAAAGTTTGTGAAAAAGTCCTTAATACAGTGAAACCTGTATTACATGTAAGTGGGCACCCTCTATTAAGTGAACACCACCTTGAGTCCCAAAATTTTCTTCCCACCTTTACTGTAAATAAACCTGCATTTAGCAGACACCTCTTTTAAGTGGACGCGGACACCAATAGAGGACTCTCCTGAAAGCTACCTCTAGGTGATTGGAGGCCTCCTCTTAGTTTACTTATTTATTATTATTATTTATTATTATATTATTATATCATTATAATACTAATTATTATTATTATTATTATTGTTTTAGTATCAGCCCATTTTGTTGAACAAAACCTGCAATAAGCAGACACTTCAAGGGCTTTTTGCTTCTAAAAGCTCAGCTCCTTTAACATTTTTCAGTGGTTGGATGTCGTTTTAATGCTAAGTAGATTATTCCAGCTTGATGCATTGACTGACTGGACGTTCTGCTATGAGCAGTCTTTGATCTTACACTGTGTTACACTCTGCTACAGAGGGGTTAATAATTTACTATTATTGCACAATAATTATATTAGAACCTGTTTAGAGTGGACACCCTGTTTAAGTGGACACTAGTGAGTGTCCCAAGGGTGTCTGCAATACAAGTTTCACTGTAGTATCAAGAAGGTCTTTTAATTAGCATAAATACCTGGTTACTGGTAGAGGAAAATATTCATTTTAACTCCAAAGTTGTTCTTGACAAAAGGATTCATTTGTTGATAAAAAAAAAAAAAAAATGGTAGGTGTAAAACGCAGACTGCGGATTGTAGACTGCAGACTGGGGGTAAAATGCAGACTGAGGATAAATGCAGACTGCAGACCTAGGGTAAAATACAAACTGCAGACTGCAGTCTTTTTACCTGAATCGTGTTAGTACCATTTCCATCATTGAAAGCTATTTGTAAACAGGCTAACCAGGGCATTATTTAGGCTAACCTAAGTCATATTCAGGCTAAACAGAGTGATATTCAGGCTAACCGAAGTGCAGTCTTCTTAACTGCAATTAGCCAGCTGAATAATTCTGTTTATGGTCAGCACTCAATTATGGAAAAAACACAATATATACTTAAAAAGTCTGTAGTCTAGATCTACAGTCTGCATTTTACCCCTGGTCTGCAGTCTGCATTTTACCCTCAGTCTGCATAATTTACCCCTGGGCCGCAGTCTGCATTTTACACTGACCAATAAAAAAGTTCTGTTGTTGTTTGTGGCTGGCTTTTAAAGTACACCCTTAGTAATACCCGCATTCTGCACCATTGGGTGAAGGACCATTTATGGTGGCCGAATGCAGTTTTCAAGTGCCTTTGCCTACTTCACCATTACTTTTAAACTATTTATGCTTTGGCACCAGTTTTTTGCAAGAGTCAAGGTTAACCACAGAAGGGTTTATTCTCCCATTTTGGTTAAGGTGCATGCTGTTGCCATGGCAATGGGGCTGGTTAAAAACAAGGCTTAAAAAATGGTTTTTGTTTATTTCAAAAAATCCCATCGTTAGATTTTTTTCATCATTTGCTCACTACAAATTGACATTAAAACCCTTTTGTCAACACTGTTCTAATAAAATTTTGACCTAGACGATTTTTGTAATTCGCCATAAATCGTTTTCACTGCATGTTCTGTATCATTAAAAATTCTCTGTGTCAAAATTCAGATTTTTTGCGATAGATCATGAAATGACTGGATTGTTAGAATCGGCAAGTTTCTGCAAAAGCAATCGGATTCAATTTTTCGAGCAACTGCCCGTGTGCTGCATTTAACTGAGTTCTTTCGGTAACAAAGAAAACGTTGAAAATTGCTGGGTTCTTTGCATCGTTAGCTTTTCTAACATATCTTTGTAATAAAAGACTAAGGCCATCAATACACTGCATACAATAATAGAGAAAAATTGTACAGATAGTGGGGGTGTTGAGTAAATAAAATGATCGCTCTATTGACGGCATGTTTGTTTTTGCAATCCTTGTGTGTGCGCTAAATTGCATTAGCAAAAGCGCGCATGATAACTGTGTTCGGCCACCTTAAATTTTGAGAAAATAAAGTCTGACTCATGAGAGTGAGCCAGGAAAAAGAAACATGGGGAAGAAATGAAGAGAAAAAATATTGAACAACCTGGAGTTGGAAAAAAAGTTCTTATTTTATAGAACAACAATTGCAATAGGCCATGGCCAACAATTGCAATAAGTAAATGGGTTGACTTTTTAAGGGTGCAATCTAATCGATACAATCAATAGAATTGAATAGAAATCGATTGGTGGCTTTTGTGTGATTATTGACTTTGATCGATTTTTGTACTCAGCTATTGATTTTATCAACAAATTAATTAACGAATTGAAATGGATGGCGATGGTGTTGATACATTCACTGTCAATTAAACTGTTCAAATGTTTAATGTTAGTATTGTATGTAATAGTAAAAAAAAAGTATTAAAAAAAAAAAACTGTTCACATGTAGCATCAGGCAGATCCTTGTCAGAATGGATGACAACTAACATCAGCTAACATTATGGAACTGACTTACTGTGATGGTCTTAATCTTCGAAGGTGTTTCCAAGGTAAGCTGATGGTAGGTTTTGACGAGGAGTGTTCACCACTTTTTGCTTTAGGAGATTGGATTGATCTACGACTGGCATTTTTGATTATCAATTTTCATCAACTGTATAAAAAAATTGTGATTTTCGATTTCAACAATATTGATTAAAATGACTAATCAACTGAAAAATATCGAGTACTGTCGAGTATTATCGACTATCTTTCCAACGTTCAATTTCCATAGATTAAATGCGCCTGGCACTTTTCTTGCTTTCTCCTGTTTTAAAGCGAGTCACTGTCTACCTGCAAAGCTTTTCAAATGAAAATGAGTTTGATTTGAAACATGCGGGTGAATTACATTTTCGTTCTGACGCAGAGGAAGAAGAATTAATGGGCTAGATTGTGAACATCTGATCTCCGGAGGCATTAATTCTTTGGAATGTTTTCCAAAATGATCTACACCTCTCCACTGATGAAAACAGGTTATTTATGTATGCAGATGACCACCAACTCTTTCCAGTGGAAAAGACAATTAACAAGTGGAAAGCATTTTAACTGAGGAAGGTAACAATATCTCTGAGTGGTACAACAACAACTTTTTACAAGGAAAATTTTCAAAGTATCAGGTGATGAGTCTGGGCCCGAGGAACTGTCATAAGGATTTACACATTGTCGTTAATGACACATTGTCAAATTTGCTATACTACCTCATCTCACATGAAGTCAGACTGTCTGGCACATTTTTGTTGTTCATCTGATGTCAGAAAACTAGAACGAATTCAGGAACGAGCACTACGAGCTGTTTATTGTGACAATAAATCGACGTATGAG